TTATAGAAATTCATAAAGAATTTCTTATTTAATAGTGAAGGGAGTTCTAAGAGTGTAGAAAAAAAAAGAGTAAAAGAGAGAGAAGCTCAAGCTGGTATTGGAAAGAGTAAAGTATTGAATAAATCATCTTTTCCTTTCCCATTTTCTTTGTATTGAGATTTGATGTGGTTGTGATTTAGCTATGAGAACCATATGCTTTATTGTGAGGCAGAGGCACTGGTAATGGTGAGAAAAAACAGGGGAATAACAGAAGTATTGAATAATGAACTGAAATTGGAGTTTATGTTGAAAACAGGTTTTTGCTGGAAATAATTTACCAGAACTTCATCTTGATTTTTGACCCATTAATGATGGAATTTAGCGAAAGTGTCATAGAAGAGTTATTTGTTCTCTCTATGTGTGTTAGCATTTACATTGGGTTATTTGAAATCATCCAAATCGGAAAGATTTATATATTAGAGAGAATAATGAACCAAAGAGTAACGGCCTGTGTAGGCCTTGGGAAACGCACCGAAAAGCGCGCGCAAAGACGAAAAATTCGTGCATGACGAGCTCGCGTTGGCCTTCTCGGCACACGCTCAGACTTTCAAAATGCAAAAATCTGCGCTCGCAACTTTTCACCTGAAAAAACTCTCTGACTCTCATTTGGCACTATCCTCATTTGGCTCGTGGACTTTCAAGTGCGCATCTCGCGACTTGTGCTCGCAAACTCTGCTGACTCTCATTTTGGCCACTTTCTCTGCGCCGCGACTTTAAGTAGTCTTCCACGTACTTGGACCCATCTTTGGCCTGTAAGTCCCTCGTGACCTTCATCGCTTGCGCTCTGGCGAATTTAGCTTGGGAAATACTCTCACTTCTCTCATCTGGTGCTTTACGCGCTTCGCGACTTGTGTTTTCACTGCACTTTTAGACTTCTTTTTCAATTGCAGTTGTATTCCTTTGCTTCACTCTCTCATATGCCTCCAATCCATTTTACCACCAAATGACAACATTCTCTCAACATTGGTCAAAACAATCATGTCAAAGCATGCAGAATGATGTTGAAATCAAATAAAAAATCATTCTAATTGAATTTATGGAATTATGAAGTTATGAATTATGAATATTGATGTTGTCGTCAATACTCATTGACATACCAAATTATGCCTCCACTTGAAGGTTAGGTAGAAACCATGTAGATAAGCTATGTCCGACATAGAGAACAGATCTGCACCTCATACAGTTTGATACTCCGGCTACAGGCCGTATTGAGTGAGATTATCTATGATTAATATGGGCCATAGGCAGCCAATCACTCAGTATTCATTCAGTTTCATACAGTTTTTCTTCCTTATCCTCCAGTTTCACCTTTTACTACGCTTATTGGCGCCATACAGTATCTGACATAACATTCGTGTGAATATCTGGCTTATAACAGTACAAAAGATAATCAAGGTATCATGAAGTATCCATGATGTGTGTGCTTATATGTGGCCATATGTGTTTACAAATGGTTCTTCCTTTATACATGTATGTGTTTTAATTGATTTCCTCTTATATGTTGAGATCCACTGGCTTTCTTTGACTCAGCGAGTTACCTGTTTTAACGTCGCAGGTTTTGAGAATTGGACCGTTCGTAGAGTCTGCCTTACCACACTGCTGCAGTTCATCTGTAATTGAAGACTCAGGTCTTAGGGTAGCTATCATTTAATAATGTGATCTTTGTCTACCCTTTTTATGCATGACAGGGCAGTCAGTTGGGCCTATTTCATTTTGACACTAGTAATCAATATTTTCTCAAATATAAATTACATTATTTTTTGTATATAACATCAGCTTGCACTATTTATATTCCAATCTATACTTATGACTTCAGCATGTCAGGCCATGACCAACCGAGTTTGTAGCGTCTCGGTTCGGTTCATTCGGGTTACGGGTGGACCGGGAAGGATGTTACAAATTTTATGGCATGCCCTTAGGTTTAGCTCCTTCCCCGGGCTTTGCATTCATAAATCAGTATAGTGTACGATGCCATGACGTACCCTGATAACTAAAGCAGTCTCTCTTTCGTTATCTTTAGGAGTTAATGTCACAGGAAGGTGTCTGAGAAGCGATCACTACGCTCTAGGCCAGTGGGGTGATCATCCAGCACCAGGCAAGAGGAAATTGTTCTACGCAAACTTTGCGGATACGTTTTTCGACAGATTGCAGGGGTGATACCTCAAGCGAATACCCTAATACGTAGTAGAAAGGTGAAAAGAAAGCCCCACTTAGAGAAGCTTCGGAAATATGGGGCGGGAAAGAATTCAGTGCTAACAAGTGATGATATCCAGGACAAGAGCTGAGTATTGGTTAGATGGACATCGAGAGTTCTAGTTACTCACTGTACTCCAGAGGAATAGTTGGTTTGTGCCACCATCACTGCTCATTAGAGAGACAGTATACTGGGTGGGGTACTACTGATTCCATGCACGCGGTATCAGCAGTCTCAGCAGCGTACATTGGCGCAATTCTTCTTGGAGAATTCAAGAAAAGTTCAATCACTCACTAGGCTTTACCGGAGATGCCCGAGAAGGAAAGAAATTCCTATCCCTTTCGCTACCCTGAGGCAGCAACAGCAATGTTCAGTCTGCTCCGACATATGAAAGGAGAATTACCAGGTCTCTAGCAGGTTTTATGGGTGTCATTGGCTCTCTCTTTCCTGATTAGTGGCTTACAAAGCGAGAGGTGTTTTAAAAAGTTTTCCAGCCAAGGCCCTGATACGATGCAGTTTTCCGCATGCGGGGAGTGGGTGGTAGCTGTGCAGATTCAGGAGTAGGTGTTCAGCTTTGGTTAGAGGCAGCTCAGGAGATTAGAGCGAATTTCAGGCCAGTAGCGAACAGACACCATGTGTCATTGGGTTCTCAGCGAGAGTGAGGACCTGACTCAGAGTGCACCCAGTGTATACAGAGTCAGAATAGCTAGGAAGATTCAGAGGTGCTTAGTAGTATGTCAAGTAGTTAGTGCTTAGACGTGTCCTATTAGACTCACAAGGTGCAAGCATTGGTCCGGTGCTAACATTGCAGCAATCTCTCTCAGTTGTGGGCTAGGTTCTGCCGGTGGTAGTCGAGTTCTGGCTAGAGGAATCTCGTAGACCGGCACCCCCAGCTAGAGGTGCCAGAGTCTCAAAGCGCCGGTTATACTTTTTCCACTTGTGAGCGATTGTGGCAGACGCCATGCGTGCGAGATTTGTTTGCGTGGTCGACTGGTAACATGTTGGATATTGCGGAGCAATCAGACCATCAGAAGAGGATTGTTCGAAGAGTAGTCAAAACGTTCCTACACAGTTCATAGCATGCAGGAGGCTTAGAGGTGAGAGTCTTCCCGAGTGGCAGCTCAGCAGTCAGAGACTTTGTGGACAGACCTGATATAACAGGTGCATCAGGTCTATGCGATGCGAGTCCAGAGAAGAAGATGAGGAAGCTCCCAGATCGTTCATAGTTGGTGAGTTTTCTCTTTAGGTGATTCATTACATTTCCTGCTTCTAATGCCCCTTGGCTCTCATTTATTAATTAGCTGTACCTAAACTCCTGGTAAAGTTAGAAGTTGCATATGTGAGTTCAGGGTTTATGTTGGTTACAAATCTAATTAGGAGATGTAGTACAGACTCATACAGTGGGATCGAAGGAGTCCAAGTGTGTTATTCATGGAAAAAGAGTTTCCAGGAGATCTTATGGAGTTTGCATTTAGAAATTTGATGTGTAGTTCGTGGGGTATTGGATTGGTATCCAGACAGTCAGGGCTATAGTTGATTGTGCAAAGATAAAGGGTTGGATGATGTTAGTGACGAGTACAGCAGGGGGAGAGATGATACAGTAGTCGGAAGCGGCTGAAATTCTGAAGCCCGGGGTAATGTTCAGAATATCAGCCAGGAGCGAGAGCAAAGAGATTAATTCTCTAGGCGGAGTTGGTGAAGCATTTCGTGTGATATGTGGCATTATCAAGCAGAGATAAGAAACAGCTAGAAGTGCAAGATC